ACGGAGCGGAGCCTAACGGGGAGCGCACGGACCCATCGCGTGTCCGTTAGGCGAGCGGCGGAAGCGCCCTCCCACGTTCGGGAGCTGTTGGGCTCCGTTCGTTACGATCCCAGCCATTACGCAGGGCTGCGCCTTCGGGGGAGCTGTAATGGCACAGCGAGGCGTTCCCAGGCTGCTCAGAGACGCGTCGGAGAACTCCACCTGCTGCTGCCGGGGCGGGGAGACGCTCCTCCCCGCGGGCGTTTGTCTGACCCCGTTCAGGGCACACAGTCCAAGCTTTATGGGAATTTTTTTATTTTTTTTTTTAAAACCTTAAGACAAAGTGCTTACATAGAGACTTCGCAAGGTTTCCCTTTCGTCGTAGTGAAATAGCAAATTTCAGGGCAATAATAAAGTGTGGTGAAACATCTGTTTCTTGGGTTCAACGGAGTTAAACCTTTACTGTGTTTGATGAGTCATTTCCCAAGAATAAAGTATAAAACACAGCGATGTGTTTGTTTTGTCTCCCACAATACTCCTTCTCCACTTAACTATGAGAACTTGTATTCCTGAAAGTATATAGAAGTTTCGAGACCTCTTGCAGCTCATCAGCACTGATAATATAGTGATTTGGACAAAGTCAGCTCCATTTATGTACAATACAGAAAATTAGATGTTTGCTTAACACAAATCCCTGATGCTGCTATTTGCTGGTACTCTGTAATCACTCTCACCTCATGGTAAAACACACTGTCTTGGTCAGGCACCAGCCTAGCCAGTACCTAATAACCTTACGTTCATTAAGATATATAAAGTCTGCCAACCTTTTTTTTAATGCTTTCCACTTTCTTGAATGTTCCTGTGCAATCTGCAGATGGTGGGCACACTGAAAATAGCTTTGTGGATCAACCTTTGTACTGGATTGGAGATAACTGCTTTTTGTTGTGTTTGTTAAAGAGATTAAAGCACTAAGTAAGTAAGCTTTAACAAGGTTGTTAAACAATATTCTTTAGACATTTAAAGCAAAAGAAAACAAAAAAAAAAGAAGCCAAACACAGAGATACTCATCAGTTCCCAGAGGAACAGGCTGTTCGTGCTAGAGTTCATCTGCCGAGAATGTCCTTGTAAAAAGTTCAAGTAACTTAATTCCCAATTTACCTGAAACATACATAGGTTAAAACTGTGAGTTTACGAAGTGTCAGTGTTTTGTATGCATCATGGGCAAACTACAAGTAAGCAACAGAAGTTGGAAGCTGTATAAAATTCACCTTCTTAGGTAAGAATTTAAACCATTATTTATTTGGAAGGCAACTTAGAATAAATATGCTTTTATTACTATTGACCTTTTTGAATTTGTCCAGCCTGGAGAAGAGAAGGCTCCAGGGAGACCTTACTGCAGCCTTCCAGTACCTGAAGGGGCTACCAGGAAGCTGGGTGGGACTTTTTACAGGGGCCTGTAGTGACAGGACAAGGGGTAACGGGTTTAAATTGAAAGTGGGGAGGCTTAGGTTAGATATCAGGAAGAACTTCTTCCTGGAGAGGGTGGTGAGGCACTGGCACAGGTTGCCCAGAGAAGCTGTGGATGCCCCATCCCTGGAAGTGTTCAAGGCCAGGCTGGATGAGGCTTTGAGCAACCTGGTCTAGTGGAAGGTGTCCCTGCCCATGGCAGGGGGGTTGGAACTAGATGGTCTTTAAGGTCCCTTCCAACCCAAACCATTCCATGATTCCATGATTTATTGTAAGCTACTGCTCTAAAGCACTTTTCCGGCTTCTCTTCCATAGCTTTTCACTTTATTTTAATTTCTTTTTAGCACTTTGGAGAAACTTCCACTGAAACATTTTTTGATTTTCAGCTGAGCAAAAAGACCCAAAGAAGGTTCAGTTCTCAATTTATAGCTTACTGTAGCCCTTCTATTCTTTCTGTTACATAGTTCAGACAGTTCAGTTAATCTTTCAATTAAGACTTCGTTCTTAAAAAGTCTCTTCCCGACCCTCCCGCAGTTGTGGGTTAACACTTCATTGGCAATAAAGCTGTGATTCTTTTTAGGTAATGCATTTCATAACTTCGGTATCTTATTCTAAAGCGGTCCCTATAGTGTGTGTAATCAAGTTGGATTGCATGCTACTTTTTTAAGGAATCCTTTCTGTTCCTTTTTCCCCTCTCTTGGCATTCGAATGTATAGTTATCTTTATTTTTCTGTCAACCTCATACTTAGCAGAAAGAGGTATGCTAATCTTACGCACCGTACTTTGCTTTTACTTTGTACTTTCCGTTTGCAGATCTGCACTGAATTTATATAACACTAATGTGGAACTATGAATGCCCTTTCAGAACTATCAGAAACTTAGCTAGGAGTCGGATTGGTGCTTTTGGTAGCTTCACTGCACTGAATTGGAAATTTGGAGAATGCCAAATTCAGCCTGGACTGTCTGAATCCCAGCCTTATGCGCTTGCTGCAGAACCTGGTCAGATTGTATTGTTTCAGTTTTTCTTTAATAATTAAACTTCAGCGATTCTTGCCTTGTGTATTTTAAACACAAGAGTGTAAGGGCGTCTGTAGGCGGTCTCTCTTGAAGCCTGTTCCAGTGTGCTTGCTCTAATAGAGGCCGATATCAAATACTAAAGGGGGGAGCACAAGGATAGGGCAGCCACACAGAAATGGCTTTCTTGTTTCTAGCTGCCTGAACCAAAAGTAATACTGAAAATTGTAATACTGAGAGTAATACTGAGAAATTGTAAATGATCTATCTGACCATTTTTAGGTAGTTTGTGGGTGTTGGGTGTTTGGGTTTTTTTTTAATAGGTCTTTTACTACTCCTCTGCTGCCAGCCCTTTTTTGTTTTAACCATCTTCAGGTGGAAGAAACCTGGTCTCTTTAATCTTTCATGATAAACAGGTGGGAAGCCACTGTAAACCTCTTTTTTTTTTTTTTGTCCTTTTCTAGATCTGTGTGTTGTTTTTGAAAGGTGTGTAACCTTGCATGTCGTGCTCAGGGTGCTGAGGGACCACGTGGATTTATAGCGTAGCATAATAATGTCTTCTGCTTGTTCTCTGCTCTGTTAGCAATGACTTTTCATGTTCTTTCTGTGAACGCCACCTAACAATGATCTGCTGGTATTTCCTTAGAAATATGTTTCTTAACTCCACAATCTGTTTATTTACAGCTAATTCATGGCTTATCATTGTAAACAAATACTTCTGGTTTTGTCCAGGTGCATTACTTTGCATTTACCAACACTTTCTTCTGCTTTTTTATCATCTGGTTGTTGGGCACTGAGAGATCCTTTGCAACTCTCTGAGATTTGTAACCTGGCTGTTCATTTCCTGCTCCAGAAGTTTGGTTAATGCAGGTTCTTTGTGTGCCTGTGGCACTCGTTTGGTCACTCTAGGTACTTTGAAAGTGGATCAGTTACGTATTCTCTCTCTTTCCTGTTCTCAAGCTGGTTAGTTATTCATGAGAAGCCCTTTTCCCAGTTTAGCCAAAGGCAGCATTACTTCTTCGGGAGCCTTTGAGAGAGATTGTCAAAGGCTTTTTGAAAATCCAGGTATGTCACATCGTCCCTGTGCTGTTTGAAGGTATCAGATTTTCCAGGCAGTACAAATGCCACCTTAACACCCCCTTCATTGTGTCATATTTACCTCAGTGTCTGTGAACCCTGTTCTTTCTGGTTTGCGTGGTAGAAGGATCATCACGGTATCACAACTTGCCCATTAGTAGGAGTAGACTTACTGGGGTTTAGTGCGTTGGCTTTCCCCTTGGGACTTAAGGCAGTATCCTGTTTGCCTCCTCCCACCCTGGTACTGAGACCACTTTAGGTGATAAGACCGTAGTGACAGAGCAGCAACTTTGTAAGTCGTTTTCTTTGCAGTTCTTAACTGAATGCTATCTGGTTTCAGCAGTTTGCTTCCAATACATCTTTTTTTGTTTGTTTCTGCTTTAGAGTCTCTTATATTGTCTTTTCATCTTGGGACACTTCTTTTGACTTGACACCTCATAAGTTCTGATGTAAGCTTTTCTGTGACCTTACTGACACAGAAGGGAAAAATACCTGCTGGTGATTTTTATTTTTATAATTTTGTTTCTGAATATTTTTTTATAACTGTTTCTTAGGATTCTAAGTGTGCTCTTTGCTGTAATTTTATCTGTACAGTTCATTGCCTTTGTTTATCCATGTTACCTTGCATATTTTTTCACAGAGGCTTTGCAGTCCAGTATGTGTTCTTTGAACTTGTTCACGTTATTAAATGGTGCCGTACTGAATATTTCTGTAACCCATTTAGGTCCTGCTCAGGTTCCAATGATGTCCCCAAATGGTTCAGTGCCTACTATTTATGTGCCTCCTGGATATGCCCCACAGGTATGTCTCTTCCTTTGATTCTTATTTCATTTCATGCAAGTAATGGGAGAAGAACTGAAATAGCTAATTCAATAAATTAACATGTCAAAGTTTCAGAGTCGCTGTGGTCAAGCAAGTAAATCTGGGGAGATGTCCTGTAGTATCTGTGATGGGAGACTTGTCATGCTGCAGATGTGCCTGTTCAGTTATATAGTAACTACTTACACAACAATAACAAGCACAGTTCCTTGTGGAGTTTGGGATCCTAATGTACTTAATGTCTTCTGAACATAAAATACAGCCGTGACCCAAATACCTCATTGTGCAGGACCTGTACTGAGTCCTGGGTTAGAGTTTGTTTTCTCTTGGCACCGATATAATTTTATGTATGTACGTAGTTCAGGTTGGGAAGTGGCCTGCAGGTACGGACTAAAACAGATCAGTTAAAGTGTAGCAAACAATATGGAAAAAAATATAAGCTGTCTTCTGGGGATAAATTATCATATAATGCATGTTTCCATGGCTTATCTTAAAATAGGGCTCTGATGTCCTCACTGCTGTGTGATTCCTAATTTAGGTGCCTGAAAATTAAATGTGAGCTTGATAACCTGGACATCCTTTAAAGCAAATTAAAAGGATGATTCCTCTCATCTACTTAGGATACCTAGAATCATAGAGGCTTTTAGGTTGGAAAAGACCTTTAAGGTCATCAAGTCCAACTATTAAGTTAACACTGCCAAGTCCACCACTAAACCATGTCCCTAAGCACCGCAGCTACATCTACCACATCTTTTAAATCCCTCCAGGCGTGGTGACTCAACCACTTCCCTGGGCAGCCCGTTCCAGTGCCTGACCACCCTTTCAGTGATGAAATTTTCGTAATATCTAATCTGAACCTTCCCTGTAACAACTTGAGGCTGTTTCCTCTTGTCCCATCCCTTGTTCCTTGGGAGAAGAGACCAACCCCCACCTCTCTGCAACCTCCTTTCAGGCAGCTGTAGAGAGCCATAAGGTCGCCCCTCAGCCTTCTCTTCTCCAGGCTGAACACCCCCAGTTCCCTCAGCTGCTCCTCACAGGACTTGTGCTCCAGACCCTCCTCCAGCTTTGTCTCCCTCCTCTGGACACACCTCAGCATCTCTTATGTCCTTCTTGTAGTGAGGGGCCCAAAACTGAGCACAGTACTCAAGGTGAGGCCTCACCAGTGCCCAGTACAGGGGGACAATCCCTGCCCTGGTCCTGCTGGCTACGCTGTTCCTGATGCAGGCCAGGATGCCATTGGCCTTCTTGGCCACCTGGGCACACTGCTGGCTCACATTCAGCTGCTCTCGGCCAACACCCCCAGGTCCTTTTCTGCCGGGCAGCTTTCCAGCCACTTGTCCCCAGGCCTGTAGTGTTCCATGGGCTTATTGGTAGCCAGATGTAGGACCTGGCACGTGACCTTGTTGAACCTCACACAGTTGTCCTCAACCCATTGATCCAGCCTGTCCAGATCCCTCTGTTGAGCCTTCCTACCCTCAGACAGATCAACACTCCCACCCAACTTGGTGTCATCTGCAAACTTACTGAGGGTGCACTCCATCCCCTCGTCCAGATCGTTGATAAAGATATGGAACTGGCCCCAGCCCTCAGCCCTGGTGAACACCACTTGTGACCGGCTGCTACCTGTATTGTGATGAGACGTGTGGTCTTCTAGATGGTGTCTCTTTCTTTCCTTCAACTATAAAACAGGCTTAGGGGTTAGTAAGTCAGACCTGGAAGTCAGAGCAGATGAATACCACTCTTCGTAATGTGTGTCTATCTCATGATGTTGTGGTGTTGTGACAAGTGTACCTCAGACTCGGCGTGCACTCTGCTGTACACTGAGAAGAGACTACAACATGTTAAATGCAGTCAAAAGACCCACAGTGTCCAACGGAAGTTGGACTAGTTACCTGAACTGCATAAAAATTGTCCTCTTGCAAAAAAAAAGGCTGTTTGATTAGGCAGACTAATAACATGGGATCTCTCTGATTTTACCTATCATTTGTTCAAAGTTGGCTGATAAGTTGATTGATGTATCCTTCATAGTTGAGTTGCCAAACAACCAGAAGAAACATGAATTAAAAACAATCATGAAAGTCCATTTATCTTTAGGTCATAGTAAAAAGTCTTGTTTCCTATTAGAATTCATTTTTTTAAACTGAAAGAATTTTTGAGATAATTGAAATTTAAAGTTTTGCCATATGTTTTTAAAAGCCATCGCAGGCCGAAGGGCTGGGCATTGCTGAGGCACGCTCATTAGCCTTTCATCAGAGCTTGTTAGTTCAAGCCAGTGTTGTGCTAACACAGTGTTCTGACTTTTGAATTGAAGATGCCTCACATCTCTCCAGCTCAGCGTACAGGTGGAATGAGCTCTGCTGTTTTCATCTGAGTAAAAGTATCATAGTCCAGGAAAACCTGCAGTTTATAAGGCTTTTGAAGTATTTCACAGAATCACAGAACGGTTTGGGTGGGAAGGGACTTTAAAGATCATCTAGTTCCACCCTTCCTGTGGACCCCTTCCACTAGAGCAGGTTGCTCAAAGCCTCATCCAGCCTGGCCTCGAACACTCCCAGGGATGGGGCATCCACAGCTTCTCTGGGCAACATATTCCAGTGCCTCACCACCCTCTCTGGGAAGAACTTCTTCCTGATATCCAAACTAAACGTCCGCACTTTCAATTTAAACCCATTACCCCTTGTCCTGTCACTACAGGCCCTTGTAAAAAGTCCCCCCCAGCTCCCTTGTAGCCCCTTCAGACACTGGAAAGTGCTATAAGGTCTCCCCGGAGCCTCCTCTTCTCCAGGCTGAACAAGCCCAACTCTCTCAGCCTGTCCCCATAGCAGAGGTGCTCCAGCCCTCTGAGCATCTTCGTGGCCTCCTCTGGACTCGCTCCAACCGGTCTATATCCTTCTGATGTTGAGGGCTCCACAGCTGGACGCAGCACTCCAGGTGGGGTCTCACCAGAGCAGAGCAGAGGGGGACAATCCCCTCCCTCGACACATCTCCTGATACAGCCCAGGATACCGTTGGCTTTACGGTCTCCAAGCACACACTGCCAGCTTGTGTTGAGCCGTCTTATCAACCAACACCCCTGATTCCTTCTCCTCAGGGCTGCTCTCAGTCCATTCTCTGCTAAGCCTGCTACAAACGTGCCATCAGTTGTGGTTTATGATGGTCATTCCTGTTACAAGCCCGAAGGTCTGATAGTAGTCTTGCAAACAAGAAAGGCTAACGCTATTGAGCCAAGAGTTATCCCAGACATCAAGCGGTGCCAGCAAAATAACCTACATGGTTTCGTCAGGTATAGTATATTTTTAAATGTCAGCACCTGCAGATATATTTTGAGAGAAAGTGGAAACCAGCTGAATGTCTAAAACCATCAGCCTGGAAGAACAACCTGAGCATAACCATCTTTTGTCTATCCATTTTCATTTAGTTCTATTATGCCTCTGCTTGCTTCAGTCCCTCTTTGGCAGTGATACAACGTACTGTCCTTTGTTGGAAAGTTGGGGATAACCGCAGAATAAGGCATATTTTATTTTTCTTATATCACATAAAGAAAAAGCAATTCATAAGTTGATTTACTTCTCCCTTCCTCTCCTTTTGGAACTGTAGTTCTAAAACTCTGCAAGAAAACACATCTTTCTTTATTCCTTCCAAGCTGTTTGTATTCACTGTCTGTAATGAGTTTTCCAGTAATGTTTGGTTGGTTCGCTCAACCAAGCAGTCCTATGCCAGAGCTATGTATTTTGTTAGCACAATTAGGATAATAAATAACTTGTTTATTTTTTACCTTAAGATGATATACTTTATGTAATTCACTTACTGCTTTTTGGAAGGTTTTTAGCTGTGTACTTGTCTGGTAGAGGCCTACCATTGAGTTGAAGTTTGATTTAGAGGCACAGTTACAGGCTTGTCAAACTCTTCATGTAACACTATTAAACTTAAGGTCGCTGCTGCTACAAATTGGGTATCTATTTAGTTACTTAAGCTATTAGCAGACCCAAGAAAACAAATAAATTAAAAGCTAAGTAGCCTGGTTTTTATAGTGCTGCTTCCTGCGTAATCTGAACGTGCTCATAAATTCATGATAAATTGCAATTTTTTTGTGTAAATAAAAAGGACTTAAATAATTAAAACTATGTTACAGTGTTTAGAAAATTTCATTAGCAGAAGTTCTAGTTGTATTTATCGCTATTAATATATCCTGCCTTTAGATACCACACAGCTGTGGTCGCACAGATATATGAAGAGCAGTGAAATTACTCTTTCCAGCATACTGAAAACAGCTCACTTTTTAAAGTGACATGGTGTGTATGTATTTTAAACCTGTGTTCGATTAGGACATTTATATTAATTTCCAGCTCTCAAGTAAGGTGGGATCATCCCCCACTGTGTACATTGTGTGCTTTTATGTCTTCCGAACGTTATTGCAGATACAGAGAGATCTTTACTGTCCCATTACACCAGAGGCATACAGCTGTCTCCACATAACTGTCTTTCTCAGTCCGGTAGTGAAGTTTTGAAACAGTTTCCTAGACCAGCCTGGCTTACCTGGCATTGGTTCAGCTGGCAGGATAATTTTGGGGTGTACAAATTAGGTTGCTGTCAGAGAAAATAAAAGCAGATGCTCTGTTCCAGATGTACCAGATGCACACCAGCCCCTAATGGAGACGTGGCAAAACCAACGATTGATTCCTCAAGCAGCTTTCTGTCATGGACTTGGTGGGAGTGTTCCCACCAGGACACGGAGCTAAATCTGGCCAAGCGTAATACCCTTAAGCTTAAACAGAGGAGTTGAAAGCAGCTTGGTGCTAAGTGCTTTGATCTACTGATCTGCTCCCGTTGCACCAGCTTAGTCACTGGTGTACGTGCACATGTACCCACTTCATTTCAAATGGCAGTGTCGTGAAGTTGCCTTATCCCCTGCTTTTGAATGTAGGGATATTCCAGATTCCTTTCTTCTTCCCCTTTTCCAGATGAATGTTTCAACCGAAAACTTCCATTGCAGACCTTGCTGCAGCATTATTCTACAGCATTTTACTAGGAAGTGGAGAACGATTAATTTGTTGGCATCCCAGACACTAAATTATTCACACCATGATACATACAAATCTATGCCAAGATCATCCCTAGCTGTTACCAACAGCCGTGTGTTTTTGTGAATTTACCACTAGTGATGCAAACGACTGGAGAGGATCATGATGGCAGTCTTCCCTCTCTGTGATGTGCTTCAGGGAGGGTCCCCTGTTCCTGGGTTCAGCTGATGACTGACCCTCGTTTAGTGAAGAGCGTTTTCTGCTTCGGTGCTTTGTGCCTGCTCTCCACCAGACCCCTGCACGCTATGGACCTCAGATGTGCTGCATGCACCGTGCACAGCACACTTCAGCTCCGTGCGGCTTACGTGACCGCGCTTACTCTCACTGCAGATCGCATATGCTGCTTTTGTTTCTTCGAACCTCTAGCTTGCCCAGGGCTGCACACGGGTCCGTCAGCAGAAGGCTACCCCGTCACATCTCCCATTTGCCATTTTTGCACAGCAAGCCTCTTTGCACATCAGAGCCTGGCTAGTTATTTTGCTTTAACAGCTTGATGCAGACGCTGGCTGCTGCGTGCCAATAGGTACCGTATGACAGGTGCCCCCTGGGTTAGTGTTGGTGGACTGAGTTGCAAAGACCAGACACTGTTGTGCCTTTTCACTCACGATTTATGAGTGAGGTCTGTCTGCCCACCAAGTCACTTCTGGGGAGCAATCTACTGGTTACACGGTAGAACAGATCATAGGTGCGGTGTAGCATACAGGCAATGTGAATGAGGGTTGAAAGAGGACCCTGAGGGGGGAGTTCATGCCATAAATATACCTGGTTGTTCATAAGATGTCGTTACAGTCAGGTTGGTTTTTTAACAGTATTTTTCCCCATCACATTAAGAAATTAATGGCATTATTGCAGTTGATACATTTAACATAGATAACCCTTTAATTGTCCTATCTACTTTTTTTATGCTCTCCTGTTTCTTCAAATTTAAGGGGTTTACTATTCCTAGTTTTGTTTAAGTATCTATAGAACGTACCTTTGAGACTGTCGTTTCTCTCTTGGCACGTGGTGTCTCTCGCTGTACAGGTTATTGAGGATAATGGTGTTCGAAGGGTTGTGGTGGTTCCCCAGGCTCCAGAATTTCATCCTGGTGGTCACGCAGTGATACACAGGCCTCCGCATCCCCCACTGCCTGGCTTTCTTCCTCTTCCAGCCATGATCCCCCCTCCACCACGTCATATATACTCACCCGTGACCGGAGCTGGTGACATCGCAACGCAGTACATTCCACAGTATCACACCTCACAAGTGTATGGGGATCTGGGTAAGTAGCTTTTTGAATATTCCAAGTTCTGTCAGAGGAAATAACGCTCTACTCCTTCCCACCGTCTGTTATGCTGATGTATGGGCTTTATCAAGCAAGACTTAACAGCCAGAATGGGGGCTATACACAAAAGTTTTATGAGGATAGCAGTCTGGTTTTCACTGAAGCTTGTTATTCCAAAAGAAGTTCTTTTAGTTAATTTGACTTGTATATTCAGTGATCCATTGCACATACAGATTATTTCTTACATACATCTGTTAGAGATTTGCCCAGGAAAGCAATGCAGGGAGCGTTTGTAGTGATTCAGCTGATGTCTTCCCCTGAGATTCAGCATTTCAGTCCATACCTGAGCACTGTTCTGAGATACCACGTCTTGCAAGTGTTCTGTTTGAATCATGAAACAGGAGTTCTTAGTATCGGTTATGGAAAAAAGTTTGCTATTTTGAATAAAATGATACGCATTTAAGCCAATGTCAGTATTGGAGTCCAGTTTGGATAATCAGGTGCCACCAACCTAAACTTAATACTGCAGCTGAAGCTGTCTTTGGCAGTGCTGTTGACACCTGCCTTTAATACTCTTGTTTAGTGGCAAAGCCTACGTGTGTAATAACTCAGGGGTTGGGTTGTTTGATTAATATTTACATTTCTGGTAGACTTGGTTTTCTTTAGATAAACTTCTGCTGTAAGGCAGATGCCGACCTTGAAAGGCTTTCAGAGGACAATGCCATGTTGCTGGTTTTAGAGAAAGAGGCTAGAAGCTGTGGAGGAGGAGACTAAACACAACTTTGTCATATCTCTGCAGGCATATAGATTCTCAACATTCTTTGGTACTACTAAAATAATCTAAAAATTTCCTCCATGTAGTCACTGTGCTTAAATAGTCACGATGCACAAAGCCACCAGATATGGATGTGCACAGCCTTCAGATAAGAACATACCAGTGTCTTCATCCTCACAGAATTCTTAGTCTTTCTGTATTCTTAAGTTGTACTTTATTTCTTCCTTGCACTGTTGATAACAGCACATGATCAGATGCTCTTTTGGGGGCTTATTTATAGTTTTGTTAATTTTTTTGTTTGTTTTCCATAGGTGGCAGTTGTTTGCTTTTAGTTTGCTAAATTAAGAGATTGAAGTATGATAATTAAGTGCATAAAAGGGATACTTCTTAATGGAATAATACTATTTAGATTTCTGCTGCTAGGTTATATCCCTTTAAATACAAATTCACTGATAATTTGCTAAACTGCTGGTGTAAAAATAAAAATTGATAAAGTGAGATTCTTGGGTTTTGCTTTGTTTTAAATATATATGTTAGATGCCCTTGGATTTGGGGAATCAGAGGAGTAGGGATGCTTTAATTTGTTACATATTTGCCACAGATTTCATATTTAATTCTGCACCACTGACTTTGGTTATGGCTTTCAGAAGTCCAAGTCCACAGCTAGGTTCCTATATGAGGAATCTGAATTTAAGGGGAAAAAGAAAAAAAACCAAACCTGAAGCACTTAGAGCATAGTAATTCTCTAACAAGAGCACCAAGATAGCTAGTGGTAGTGAAAATCAAATTTCTGAATAGTAACAGCTTATCATAGAGTCACAGAACGGTTTGGGTTGGAAGGGACCTTGAAGACCATCTAGTTCCACCCCCCCTGCCATGGGCAGGGACCCCTTCCACTAGACCAGGTTGCTCAAAGCCTCATCCAGCCTGGCCTTGAACACTTCCAGGGATGGGGCATCCACAGCTTCTCTGGGCAACCTGTTCCAGTGCCTCACCACCCTCTCTGGGAAGAATTTCTTCCTGATGCCCAGTCATCTAAACCTGCCGGCTTCTTTCAGTTTAAACCTGTTGCCCCTTGTCCTGTCACTACCTGCCCGCTACTCTGTGAAATTTTTTGAGAATTAAGCTGACCTAAAGAAACAGAAACTGGGAAGTTCTCTAGTTTTCTGAGTTTTATCCTTCTTGCAAGGAAGTTTTTATTTGTTCTTGTTTTCTATACTTCTAGCATATAAGGAATAACAACTAACGAACTTCAGTCTTCAGCCCGAGGGATCCAGTTTATCTGAAAATGAACAAATTCTGTGCTGATTTTGAAGGGTGTATTTTTTTGAAAGCTTTTATCGTGGTTAGGGTTACACTGATGAAGGAGTTGGTGCCAGGTGGTATACGGTTTTAAAGTCTTAAGTCAGTAAGCTGTTTCTAAGCATAAAGGTGAAATGGATAAAAATGTGAGAATTGGACAGAAAAAATCACTAATCTGCAGTTTAATTTTTTTTCATTAGTCTGGTACTGACTTCCAAGACCCAGCTGTACTATCTTCAGTCTTTTAGGGTCTTTCAGTTGCCCTATGCTTCTCTGGCATTTTTCCCTATTGATTTTGTGCTGTAGAGCTCTAGTTGCATTCCAAAACTTAAAACCTTGTTATTTTTTATTCAGCATTAGAGCAAACCTTCTCCCATGTAATCAAGTAGCACGTTTTTTCTGTGTTGATTTTACCCTGTACGGTACAGCTCAAGGAAGATCGTAGAAACAATTTAAGAATAATTTTGAAGTAGAAAAAAGATGTGGGAAGGAAAGACTATACTTTATCCCCTAACGTTGTTAATGTCCAATTAGTGTGTATTAGTTTACCTGCTGGACACTTCAGTTTCCCAGTAGGAATAGAGCTGTAATTTTACACACAAGCATGCACTTAATGCACATGCATTTTTAAATAGACTTTTATACAGATTGTGTTCTTAGGGATTGTTTTTAAATTTCTCTTCTTTGCTTTCATTTAGATACTCTGCCTGCTCATGGAAGATCTAATTTTAGAGATGAAAGATCTAGTAAAACATACGAAAGGTTACAAAAAAAGTTAAAAGATCGACACGGAACTCAGAAAGATAAGTTAAACAGTCCTCCACCATCTCCTCAGAAATGTCCTTCTCCTACAAGTGAACATAATGGACTTACAAAAGGACAGGATGCAGCTGGTATAAGCACAGGTTCTACCAAAAGCAAGTCTCTGGGTAAAGGAAAAAGCAGTTCTCAGACAGACACCGAAGTAGAAGGTAAGTGTTACCAAAATTAATGCATAGGTGTTATGCAAGTGCACTCTCTGGCTGAGCATAGCATTTGTCGATAGAACACCACACTTTTAACAGTCTTAAAGTGGAGTAGTAGCCCACAACTGCTCTGACTTACACAGAATCGTCCTGTTCCTCAAGTTGGAATGATGGTCCTAAGAGAACAGAACTACTGACATGCAAGTCTCCACGTCGATTTGAGGAAATCTTACTCGTCATACTTAATAATCTGTTTAAAGAAAGGCCTGTGCTTTGTCCAGAGTTATTGGTGCTTATGTTTTAAAGGAATCACTGAAGGTGGGGGCCTGCTTGATATTGCAGAAAACATGGAAAGAACCAGGTGTCCGATAGAGGAAGCCTATATTCTGCTTGTTAAAGAGCAGTGTTTTGTAAGAGACAGCTGTTGTTAGATAAAATTCACATAATGCCTGGCCCTGCCAGCTCAATAATGAGGGGCCTTTGGAGAAAAAGTCTGATTCTCACACTAGTCCATGAGAGTTCATGTTTTCTAGGATTCTGCCACAGGGAGAGTGTGTATTATTAATACCTGTATTTCACTGGAAAGCTTGTGATCTCATAAATGGACTGAATTCACTCAGTCTTGGTCATGCAGACTTTGTCGAATCTGACGATGTGTCACTAGACAACTTTCAGGTCACTGGCACGGCGCTTCAGATTCAGAACACAACATCAAAGACCTCTCATCAGCCAAGGACAGTTTTCCCAGATGAGGAAGTTGTGGTTAGTGATGCCGAGGGAAACAAACCATGATTTTCTCAACTCATTGCAGTTTGCTTTGAGATGACGATTGTGTGCCAGTGTGTATTAGATTGCTGTAAACCAAAAGGAACGTGAAGAAAGCCTGTCCAAGAGCAGGAAATCTCAACCTAAAAGAGCTCTTTAAAAACATGTGTAGGTGATACCATGTGGAGGTTTAGTACCAAGCGACACTGGTGAGATACAACCTGAATTCAAAAGTTGGGAATTGTTTCTCCAAACCTGAATGAGTATTTAGCACTGTAGTTCCAGAGTGGCATTTGTCTTGGCTTCATCTTATTTTCTGTTGGCTGGTATTTATCTGTGAGCTAACGTTCCCAAGGTACAGGTGGTAGAATGTACAGTTGCTTACTTATGCTATAAGAATTAAGCTAATGGCTCCTTGGAAGTATTTTATACAAAAAATAGAAAAGACCACTTTTCACAATCATTTATTTTGGGAGGCATTTTCGAGAATTATGTACTGTGACTTGGATTTGTCCTAACAGACAGAAGTCAGAAATGCATTTAATTAGTTATAAACTTGAAAATACGAAGTTGTAAATAGATTTCCCATCTTTTTAAAATAATTTTATCAGGCTTTGTTTTTCTTTTATTTTTTCTTTTTAGTTTAAGGCAGATGAAGTGAATTAAGAAGGCCTGGCCACGCCTGAGTAGCCTGTTCACTTACACTATTGATATAATCAAATTCTAATATTGTTTCAGAGAAAGCACATAAAACGCCTTTCATAAACTTATTGGGACCTCTGTAAAGCTCAGCTTAAACAAAACACCTCAGATTCTTTCCCTGAGATGTAAATGAAGGCTAAGGTTTGCCCTTGCAGTTGAGGGAGGCCAAGGGTGTCACCAGTAGTCCTCCATGTGATGTGCAATAAGGTATTTCAAGTGCTGTAACTTGACTGCGTCTACATCCGAAGATAAATCTGTGAGAGATGTCTCAGCCAAGAGCTTACGTTCTCCAGAGCAGTAGTTTGTTTGAAGTTATACATTTCTAAAAGATAACCAGGCTTCCTGTATTCCATTAAATCACAGATTTAGAAATAGTTTTATATGAACAACTTCTTTGGGAGCTTCTTGGGGTTTTTTTTTTACCCCCAAGATGAATGCAAACCGGTTTTTTGTCTTTTATACATACTTCAATCTCTGCGCAGTTGTTGAATTTGAAGAGCTGTTTCACTGAAGTCACTGCACAATATTCATGGGTACCTTTTGTTTGCTTTGATTTTGTTTTTTAAGAAAAGGATGAAGAAACGAAAGCACTTGAAGCACTTCTGTCTAATATAGCTAAGCCAGTGGTAAGTAAATAAAGCTTTCCTTAAAATCAGAATTTCTGTTGCTAATTTAGACAGTTACAGCTCCTTTTCTCTCTCCAAGTTGAAAGGATCTTCAACTTCCCGCATCAAAGAAAACTCAAACTTAACTTCCAGTCATGGAAATGTAAATGCCCAAAGTAATATTTAGTATATTAACATTTATGAGGCTAAAATTGTCTTGATACTTAGTATGTGGAATTCTTCGGGGCCACTCCATGAAATCTCAGTATTAACAGAACTATAAAAAATATATAGAGAAAGAGCTCGTGACGTTGCCAGTAACATAATGATGATGCTTAACGTAAGGTGATGCTTAACATCGTCTCTTGCTGTGAAATTTGTTCTCAGTTTCCTCTAACATTGTTCAGTTTTAATTCTTCAGGAAACAATTTTACACACCAAGTATGATATAGGCATGAGAGATACCTGGTGAGGTTTTGGAAGCTGCACCAAAAAAGAGACTTTGGAAAACTTTATTTGAAAAGTAAATTAAAACGAGGGCAGATTTCACTTGAGGAATCTCTGGCACCTCCAGGGAAGAGACATAAAATTCAGCAAGGAAGGTGTTAGGAGTAGGCTTCTGTCTCATCTGCTTGAAAATCTGCCAGTTCCTTTTCAGTTTGTAAAACTGTAATTCATAACCTTTGTGTAGAGACTTCTTAAAGCACTGTTGCCAAATTCTGCAGTTTCTTGCATTTTAGACTTGACCTATGTCTTTTCATCATCTGGACCTTCCCTGATCCTAACCTTTCTTTGAGGATTTACACAGCTTTTCTAAAAATCTGCACCTCGGTCCTCGGTCCACCAGCTTGCCTGAGTAAAAACCATCTGTGTTCCCTATTGTAAACTACAAAAAAACCATGCAGCTGAAACTTCAGGCAGAGCAGGCCGTGGGTTTGTCCAGGCAGCAACTTCTTCCGTAGTCAGGCACCCTGCTTTTCACCCTGGTCAGTCCTCAGCTTATCACCCCACACGTGTGCACGCACTTCACATACCTAAAACTGTTATGGAAGGAAGGACATACAGAGAAAAGAAGATGAAGAAGGTAAAAGGGTCAGATGGAAAGATCATCGGACTTCCAACATTGCCCTTCATCGGCTACATGCCTTCTCCCCTTCACCTGCCAGACAACCTGGCCCTGATTTTAGTGCCCAGTCCAGATTCTTCTTTCTGATGTTGCTTTACAGCCTGGTGAGGAGAGGCTGAGAGAGCTGGGACTCAGCCTGGAGAAGAGAAGGCTCAGGGTGATCTAATCGATATATATAGATACCTGCAGGGTGAGTGCAAAGACGATGGAGCCAGGCTCTTTTCAGTGTGCCCAGAGTCAGGACCAGAGGCAATGGGTGCAAACCGAAACACGGGGCATTCCCTCTGAACATCAGGAAACAGGTTTTTTACTGTGAGGATGACTAAGCATTGCCACAGCTTGCCAGAACGTTTGTGGAGACTCCCTCCTTGGAGATACTGAAAAGCTGTCTGAACGGGGTTCTGGGCAGCTGGCTTTAGGTGACCCTGCCTGAACAGAGAAATTGGACCAGATGACCTCCAAGGGTCCCTTCCAGTCTCAACCATTCTGTGATTCTGTGGTGCTCAAAAGGCTGGGCAGGGTTGGTAATTATGGAAGTGTCCTGCTGTGTCCAAGCATCGGAACGGGCTAAGGTGTCCTCGGTGCCCCTGTGTCGGTGGTGGTAAGCAGCACATAGGATGCAGCTGTCGGAATCAAATCCTATAAGAAAGGGTTGAGAGCGCTACAATGAAGAAATGGAGGGGAGCTGTTGCAGCGGTGTAGATAGTAGCTGGGATAGTCAAGTTCAGTAGCACTTAACAGGATGACCCTGGCAATGGGAGCTTGTGAAGGGGCGATAAAAAGATTTGTTTTGAGAAGAAACTGGGACTGAAAAGAGAGCTTAGGGAGAGAAAGGAAGTGAGAGAAGAGACAGCTCCAACAAGGAGCACAATTCCAAAGGACAGGCAAGACTTGAGAGATCCTAGAATAGATGAGGAGTCTAAGATGGTAAAAAGGGAACCAGGACAAACAGAATAGTAGGTGTGAACTATTGGAAGAACAAGACCGAGAGCAAGTAGGTTTTCTGTTGTTATTTTTACAAGCAGACTGATACAGAAAGGGTGATGGGAGTCTGAACGTCTTGTTAGTGAGACTGAGGGTGGCGAGGATAGTGGACAGCAGTGGCAAGAGGCTGAAACTGCCTGAGAAAGATGAAGATTGGTGAGGCAAGAATACCAGAACTTCAGTGAGAGACCTAAGGACTGCAGTCTGGGGTGGAGTAAACAAGGAGTACAGACTGGAATGAAGAATTGTTGATTAAGACCAGACTTCAGGAGGCTGGATAAGAAGGGTCATAAGGGATTATGGCTGTAATAAATTAACGTAAGTCTACATCTGATAGCACTGATCTTTATCCAGGACCTGGAATCTAATCCAGCTTTCCCACATCTCATCTTCTGACAGCAAGTACCTGCAAAGTCCTACCAGCAGAGGTTTTGGTTTGCTGCCTGTTGTTTCACTGCCCAGCTACGCAGCTTGTCTCCACAGGTGTTAGCAAACACCTATTGCTATCACTCTGTTAGATGAAGCAGTAGAGACTTGTGCAGTGCATCTAAAGGGTCCCTGCCTGCTGTAGAATAGAACTGCTAGAAAGAATTTAAGGAGTTACTAGCTATTAAAAATATATACATAAAAATCATATATATATACACATTATAGGAAAATATGCATCAAAATATTGTTGTTCTTAAAGTGAAACAGGAAAGATTTGGTACTAATTCTTGCCCATTGTGTTCAGGATTACAATAGCCTGTTTCTGTTATTTTAACACAGCAACATGATGTTCTTTCTCTATGGTCCCTGCCATTCACTGTACATAACATACCTGCTTTGGGAGTGAATCCAAGCTGTGTAGCTAAAGGCGTGGCTGTCTTTGACCCCTTTTGATTCTGGGTCATCAGAGCCCATCCCAGCAAGGGAGCACGTGCCCAGTTTAGCCACATACTTCATCAGAATGGATGCAGAAACAAATTTTTCTGCGAGGTTAGCTTACTGCAAGGTAGTGTTGTCACTGGGGCAGGCTGGACAGCTGTCTCCTTCTTCTCTTCATGAGAATGGGGATGATCCTTTCTGTCCTGAGTAGAAGCAGGGGATCAGCTCTCGGGATGTATGCACAGTCCTCTGCCAGCGGTCAGGGCGTACAGGATGCCATCCAAGTCTGGGGTGTCATCAGTGGCTGCACTGCCGTGGGGACTGGTAACTGAGCTTCCAGGGTTGGTTAGAGTGGGACGGTGGGAAGTATGATCCACAGGCAGTGTCTTCTGCTATATTGCTAATGACCTATGAAAAAGCAACGGAGTGATGGTACTGACTTGTTTTCCTTCACTTCCACCCTCAACCACCCATGCCTTTCAGGCAAGGACACTATCTCCCCTCCCCTCTGTGTCCTTGCTTGACGTTGCACGTAGACGTGTGCCTACGCGTGATCTCCCTGCAGACCTCAGAAGACATCACAGGCTTAGGCGGCAGGAGCCTGCTGCAGACTAGTCAGTGTGCACAAGGCAAAAAGCCAGGCTTCCAGCGCTCGGAGAGGCTTGTGCGTTGCAAAGGCAAGGGACTGTCAGGGCTGTGGGTGGGCGGAAGACTAGCTGATGTTGCAGCGTGGGGGAGTGTGGCATGACGAGAGAAAGGGAGGCTGTGTGGTAGTAGTGTTCACCGATTTAGGCCTTGTAGGACCAGAAGCAACCCTCCCACAGTTTCTCCAAGGAGACATTTTTCTCACCCTCCCACAAGTGAACCAGGAGACGGTGGTTTTTTTCACACCTTTTGTTTGTAGTTCTCATCAGAAATATTCCTGCAAGTTTTTCATTAATTTTTTGCTTGAAGCACTCACTGCAGGGTTTGTGCCATGATGCTCTTCTTGATGGATCATCAACATCCTATTACGTGGTTGAACTTCATAGGGTGGTTTAGGTGGGAAGGAACCTTAAAGCCCATCTAGTTCCAACCCCCCTGCCATGGGCAGGGACACCTTCCACTAGACCAGGTTGCTCAAAGCCTCATCCAGCCTGGCCTTGAACACTTCCAGGGATGGGGCATCCACAGCTTCTCTGGGCAACCTGTTCCAGTGCCTCACCACCCTCTCCGGGAAGAATTTCTTCCTGATATCTAATCTAAATTTCCCCACTTTCAATTTAAACCCGTTACCCCTTGTCCTGTCACTACAGGCCCTTTTAAAAAGTGCCCCCCAGCTTCCTTGTAGCCCCTTCAGGTACTGGAAGGCCACTGTAACTGCTGGCACAAGCAGTACAGGGTGCTGCCAGTGGTGGTGGTCAGATGATCATACGGGTGCTCTCCAGTACGGTGTCCATTGCACCATATCCTGCTCCAGAAAGTCCGGAGTAGGCTGTGAGCTGTCCTGGGTGTCCCATGTCTTAATGCCCAAGTCCGGGGCACACACATCAAAATCAGGTAGTGGACTCCATGGCGTGCTTTCATTCACACGTCTCTCTCAGTTCTGTGCAGATGTGGCACATCAGCTTTGCTGCCTCCACACTTCCATTAAGTGTTTTTATGAACACATTCTCATTATCTTAATGTTTTCCCAGTATGGACCCCCCATCCCTTCATATGTGGCAGTGTTAAGTCAAGTAACCTTCCAGTTAGCTTTCCAGTACCTGAAGGGGCTACAAGGCAGCCGGGGGGGACTTTTTACAAGGGCCTGTAGTGACAGGGCAAGGGGTAACAGGTTGAAATTGAAAGTGGGGAGACTTAGATTGGATAGCAGGAAGAAATTCTTCCCGGAGAGGGTGGTGAGGCACTGGCACAGGTTGCCCAGAGAAGCTGTGGC